GCTGCACAATGCTTCCTGGGCTCCCAAGGAACAGATTCAGGCTCTTCTGGAGGTTTCAGAGAAGGAGTATGGCTTAAAGACGATCCATCAGCCCTTAGAGGAGTTTCTGTTAACTGCAGAAGCAGAAGCAGTATGGAATGACCTGTTGGCTGACTTAGGAGACTAAAATTGGGTAGGGAAGAGGTTTTACTTGATTAAATTTGCTGAGCTCCTTTTCCAAAAATTATCTGCAAGGAGGAAGAAGGGCTCACAGGCAGGAGTGGGAAAAGGAAATGAGAAAACATCTGACTAGGAGAGCTGGTGGAGGGAGGCAGTGGAAAAACACGAATAGAAAAAAATATGGGGGTATAAAGACAAAAAACTACAGATATGACACAGATGGCCACATTTGTAATTTTCTTGAAGCACAGAGAAGGTTTAGGAAAATACCAAACTTTTGTTATTGGCTGATCTGGAATTAGCTAGACTCTTGAATGGTGAAGGAAATTTCAAGTAAGAGCATGAACACTGGGACAGTTTCCCCTTGCAAGCCTCTTTTAGATGAGGAAATCGGGGGCTCTGCATCTTCTCCTCCTGACCTGGTAAAGCTGGTGTTTGTACCACTGTGTTTGCTGAGCTTTGTCACAGAGAATGGCCAAAAGGAAGCCTCACCTTTTGGGTCAACATCTCCTCACAGAGTCCACTGGTGCTCAGGAGAGGGACTGAGAACAGCTACAGTCCACTGGAATAGAGGGAGGAAGCAAAATCCACCTACAGTGAGGAGAGGATTCTAACAGGGCAGGCCTGACCTCTCCAGAGGGAGAGAAGGTGTCCAGGAGAGGACCAAGGCCTGCTCCTGATGCAGGTGCCAAATTCATAGAAACACCTGAAAGACGAAAGAAGTGAGTTTTAAATGCTTGTCACTCAGGCAGCTCTGCCTCCAAAGGGACAGGAGGGTTTGGTGTCTGCTAATTGGCTGGAGGTGCTCTGCTCTTTTATTGGGTTGAAAATGAGATGCATTAAGAGACTTTTACTTCAGCCTGTGGCACTCTTTGTCCCTCCCAGCAGGGAATGCAAGTGGCTTGCAGAGAATTGGCAGGGAATGAGCATCAGTCTTGTCATTAGTTTTGTAAGCAGAACTGCAATTGATACAAACTCCCCAAGGGTGGGGCAACCTGGGCAGTTACAGGAGTATGGTGAAGGCAGAAACCTGTAAGGGAACTTTCAGTTTTCTCATGAATTACAGGAGCTGAAGAGACTGATTGCTGAGCTACTAAAGCAGACTTTAAAAAAGAAAAAACCAAACAAGAAACCATTGCAAGGACTTAGCCTGAGGCAAGTGTTGGGATAGGAAAAGAAGTTACAAAACTAACAAGGAGTTGATGCTCCCACCATTTTGCCACGTAATGTTCTAACATTAACCATGTACCAAAAACGCCGCTCCCTTCCAGCCTTTCTTCAGCTCTGATCACTCCAAGAAGCATTCAGTCAGGCTGAACTGAACAAAACCCTTCATTCATTACAGCCCAGTAGGATGCAAACAACTTCACAACTTGATAATCCCTTTCAGCCCTTATTAAATCAGCAAGGCGCTGCAGGTGGGAAGTCAGCCTGGAAAGGAGAGACGGCCCTTTGCGCACTTTGCAATAAAGCACGGTTTTAGTCACCAAAAAAGATTTCCAGGGCTTTCCCTGCCCGCCTCCCCTCCCAGGAGGCAGATTCCCAGTGTCCCAGAGCAGATTACACGAGCATGGTGTTTGCATTACGCGGTGGTGATGATGTGTTTGTTCTTGGCACCGAGGGGCTCTGACTCCGCGCAGCTCCGGCAATGACAGTGGAAATCTTTCAAGCCTCGAGCTGGATTTGCAGCTTCCCCCTCCCTTGCAATGCAGAACACAAGACTCTTTTGTGGAAAAGGAAAAAAATAAAAAAGAATCCCACTGAGATTTGTCTTCTGTCAAGAAAGAATGGATTTACAGCCCTCAGGACATGGCCCTGCTTTTCAAACACAGCCCCCAAGCAGTGGTCGGATGCTAGTATCAGAAGTTAGGCATGTATGGGCTGACTTTATGTCCACATTTGTAGATTTGATGTTCCATTAATGAGCCCAGCATATGGGAAGGTAGGAAAGGAACAACCCATGGCTGGTTTTATTGGCAGTGCAAATTTTCCCAAGCACGGTGCAGCTCCTGGAGCCACCTACACAGCACTGCTGCCCCATCAGATGTGGCCAGACATTCTACTGGGTGATCAAAATATGGATATTATTTTTAATTGAAGATATCATCATTTTAACATATGCCTTTTATTGTTTGTTTTCCTCTCAAAAGTTTTCTAACTTGGTTCTGCTTATTACATTTTAGTATTTTCTTCCTTCCCAATTAAAAACTCTCAGAAAAATAGGCAGGTTCTTTTTAAAACTGAAGTGTTAAAGGGAAATATTTAATTTGAAAAAATCTCAACAAGAGTTTTTATCTAAAGCCAGAATTTTTAGTAAGAATGTTTCCATGGTTGGTTTTTACTTTTTTTTCCCCCTAAAATAAACAAAATTTCAGATTGAATTAAAAATTTCCATACTGGTTGGAAAGCCAGTCCTTTTCTGTTGGAAAAATACTTTGATGCATTAAAAGGAGAAAAAAAAAAGCCTTTTGAAAAACACCTGACTTCTATTTAGAGGAAAACTAACCACCTGAAAACCCCCTATCAGATACTAACCCTATATGCAGTTTGCATTCACACTGGCAGGCAGCAATATCTTTTTTCTTCCAAAATGCCTTCAGCTTTCTGTCTGTTTGCTGGCTTGCCTGCATATGGATTTAAGTTTCAGGGTTCCTAATTTATATATGTATATATATAATATGTATATATATAACATGTATATATGTAATATATACACACATAGATATATACATGTGTCTATGTATATACAAAAGTCACTGTGGCTTCATCCTCAGACTGTACACAACTGTCTCCTCTCTTGTTCCTGGCATTGATATTTAGGTCCTACTTGTATGGGGACATTGAGAAAAGGAGCTGGAACAAATTTGCCATGAAATGTCTTGGGGCCTACAAACAAGTGCATATGTTTAAACTTGAATTATTTGTCATCTTGGGTCCAAAGAGGTAGCTCTGTCTGGAACAGAAGCAACTCTGTTTTGGGGTTTAAAAGGCACATTTGCACACCTTGTTGTTAATGTACCATGTTTAGTAAAGTTTATGTTTCATGAAGTAAATCAGAGAACAATGACATTTCATAATCTACAGAGATTTGAAGGACTCACATGCCCCAAAGCACTTTTTCTCTCTCCCCACAACTTTATCAGATTAAATCAGTGAAGAGCAGATATTACCCTCTCCTGCAAAGTTTGCAATCACTGAGATTTTAAGGACATTATGAAAGGATTTGGCTTTTAGGCAATGCTTTAAATTTTTATTACTCTTGTATCCCATTTTCTCCTAAACTTTAGATGCCATAAGAGTGAAGAAAAAAGGAAAACACTACTCTCTTTTAACTGTGACAATTCAAGGTGAAACAACTCTTAGAGGAATCCTAATCAGTGACCTTTTCTTTCCTTGCCACAGCAGCACAGGCAGAACATGAGTGTCTGTATTCCCAATTTGCCTTTTGCCTTCTCAGCGAACTTTTAAAATCATCCCAGATTAACAGAATGGGTCAGATTGATCATCTGGTCCCACCTCCCTGATCAAGCAGGATCATCCCAGAGTGCAGGATTGCATCCAGACAGGTCTGGAATATCCCCAGTGAGGAGACTCCACAGCCTCTCTGGTCTCTGCTCAGTGCTCGGTCACTGCACAGGGAAGTTCTGCCTCCTGTCCAGGTGGGACTTGCTGGGCTCAGTCCCTGCCCATGGCTCTGGTGCCATTGCTGGGCCCTGGAGCAGAGCCTGGGCCCTGTTCTGCCCCTCCCTGCACACAGGGACACCCAGGGCTGAGGGCCCCTCTCCAGCTCCTATGGCTGCTGTTCTTCATCACATCCTTTGGCATTTTGACTATTTGGGAATGGTGTGAGAGCATCCCCCAAGAACAAGAGTCAGTCTTGCTGCAGCTTCAGGAGCAGAATCCCCAAGCAGTTCAGACCAAATGTTCATTTTTAACTTGGTTCAGTGGGTGAGGCAAGTTCGAGGCATGGGGATGATTCACCTGGTGTTAACCAGAGCAGAGATGGCTGGAGCTGGAAGATCTTTAGGTGTCTTCCAACACAACACAAATCATTCTATTATTCTGTATTCCAGTGATTTTTACAGATGCTACTCATGGTTGATGGTTTGGTTTTGGTGGTTTTATTTTGTTTTTATTTTGTTTTGGCTTGCCTAGGAGCTGATTATAAAATTAATTAATTTCATTTTCATTTACAGTTTTTTGGTTTGTTTCTTCCATGGAAATTGCATCTCTTCTATTCTCAGCCAGCACAGGGTTTGTGCATCTGTTTCCTCAGAAAAGTTGGAGCTGTCTGGATGGATGCTGAAACAAACCTTTAGTCTTTTCTGTTTTGCTCACAGTTGGAAGAGAAGCTACATTAACATTGAGAAAGTTTCATGCAAACCCCACAAGCTTGGGGATTTGAGGTAGGGAATTTCTTATCTGTTTTCTGTCCCTGCTGCCATTCTGAGCCTTTCCTCAGGGAACTTAAGGACATTTTGCCCAGAGAGGTTTGAACTTCTAGTGCTGTTGGGAGCCTCTCAGATGCCATTGCCCCAGGCTCTTTGCTTAGAGCACTGAGTCAAGATGCCAGGAGAATGAAAATTATTTGCTGAATTTTAGGTGAAGATGGGCTGGTTTTGAATCTGTATAAAACTTTTCCCCAGAAATAAACATTTCCTTTTTTCAGATTGGACACCTCTACTGAAAGATGTGAAAGATGTCCCTGTCCATGGCATTGGGATTGGAATTAGATGATTTTGAGGTCCCTTCAAATGCAAACCATTCTATGATTTTATTATACTCTTACAAAAAAATAAAACAAAACAATCAACAACAACAAATTTAAATTCAGCTTTTCCTCTAACAACTTAGGGAGGAATTTCTTTCATGCATAAACAGTTTAGCGAATCTGTCTACAAAAATATAAAGTAGGATTATGCCCAGTGTTCACAGCACTGAGCTGGGCAGAGCAGCAGGGAGGTTCTTGGAATGGAACCAGATGAGGATCTGTCCTGCTTTATTCTCTTCTCCCATACAAACTTCATTGATATGAGCTAAAATGTAGTGATTGGAAAAGGCATTTGCAGGGGAAGCAAAATGCAAAAATTCAAACTGGGGCCAAGCAAGGGAGAAAAAAAAAATCACCTGCCAATAAAATTGACACACAATGGGAACAATTGCAAGTCTGGAGAGAAAAAAACCAAACATTCTCACTCTGTTCTCCACAGCATGGTATCTTCTCCTAGAGCAGAATGACTGAATTTATTGAGGTCATTTGGTAATTTGGCTACTGTAATATATTTCACAAGTGAGAGGGAAATGGCCTGATGAGACAGATGTGAGAACCCAGATCACTGGGGGAGGAGGTTTACCCAAATTTATGGCCAACAGTAAGGATGTGGCTTTACAATTCACAGTTACTCTCTCTCTACCATTGAGAAATCTCTTCTGTTAATGGCCTGTGCTTGACATTCTGGTGCAAATTCAGATCTCAGTGGTGCTGGACTAAAATCCTTTGAGATTGATGGACTTGGTCTGGAATAAAATCATTATTTCCTCTATATTTGAAAGATATTTTGAATAAGCATGAGCTCTCACAGGCTGTGGTGCTGTTTAAGAAATACCTAGGACATGAATGACTGTGGAATAATCTAATCTGGATGTGGGCAAGCTCACATTTGTATGAGTTGCTCCATGTATGATTGAAATTTGGATAATCTCTCCTGCTTCTGACTCTCTCTCTGGGCTGCCCTGTGCTGCACTGCCCACACCATGGACTGAATCTTCTTTGTCTTTACTTCCCTGTGGGTCCTCAGGTGGATTTCTCTTCTCCACTTCACACCTGCAATAAATGGATAATTTTTTTCCTTTTTTTGGGTCCTGACTCAAGCTGTCCAGCCATTCAGCTTCCATGGATGACACTTTATTCTGTTTATTCTTGATTCCTGTGAGGACAGCCTCCCTTACTGCCACATCAGACCTCAAGATATCAAAATATTTCTGAGATTATTAAGAGGTGCCACCACATCCAAGACCCAGCCAAGGCTAACACAAAGAAAATGGGAAGGGAGATCTACAAAAATGTCAGAGACAGTAACAGAACTGATGGTACAGATATTAATACTTTTTGGTCTCAAAAAGGGAAAATTTTCTTTGTCCCAGGTTGAGAACATTCTTTTTAAGTTTGGATTCAATGGTAGAATAAAAGATTAAGAAAATAATCATAAGCATAAATCAATGCATAAGCCCTGCAGAGCATACAATCTTTGGGATTTACAGAGCATTTAGAGCAGAAAATGAAAATGAAAGCCAATCAAGTACAGATAGGTTGGATTCTTGCAAAATAAGCTACTCAAATTTTGATTGTTAAAACTATTACCCAAAAATATCACAATACTAATACCTTCCTATTAAATCCATTTTTTTTTTTTTTTTCAGTTGGAAAGGTCTGTTTCTGGCATCAATTACACAGGAAGCCAGACAAAACTACAGTGGTGCTTTTTGGTCTTAAAATATCTATTTATTAAAGCTTTGATTTTCAGCCTGCACATCCCTCCTGCATGGCAACCTCTGCTTGATAAGATTATAACTATTAATTAAGTCATGCTAATGAAGACAGCAAGGAAGGGTTTTCCCAGCTCTCACACCATATTTCAAGCATTGCCAATGTCAGCTCTCTCCTATCTCCCTCCAGCTCTGCTGTCTCCTGTGTTTCTTTGGAGGGGAAAGAGGGTTTAAAGCTGCATGCCATAAATCACCAGGCATCCTCGCTGTAACAGGATGATCCCCTGTTAGAAGAGGATTTCCCCTCGCCCTGTGAGTGGGAGTAAATTGTTCTGTGGCTCCTGGTTTCCCTTTGAAGCACGTGGGAGAGGAGCATCCTCTTTTGAAGCCCAGCTGTGTGACAGGAGCAGCAGCAGAGCAGGGAGATCCTCCTTGCACGGGCTGCGCCAGGGAAGTTGTGTGGGAGAGCTCCAGCTGTCTGCTCTGCTGGTCCTCTCCTTGGGTAGCACCACTGAAAAAAACCAAAAAAAGTGAAAACACAGCCCTCTGTCTCCTGGAAAGGGGATTAAATGGGACAAAGAAAACGGGAATGCAAAGAAAATACCTTGCCTTAAAACACGTGCCTTGGCTTCCTCAAAATTTCTAGGATAATGGCATGATCTAATTGTAGACACTGATTGCAGAATCATAGAATCACAGAATCACAGAATGGTTTGGTTAGGAATGGACCATAAAGATTGTCTAGTTCAAAGGCCCCGGTCATGGGTTTGAACCTTTCACGATCCCAGGTTGCTCCAAGCCCCATCCAACCTGGCCTTGGACACTTCCAAGGATGGAGCAGTCACAGCTTCTCTGTGCCAGAGCCCCACCACCCTCAAAGTAAAGAGTTTCTTCCTAATATCTAACCTAAAACCACCCTACTTCAACTTCAAGCCATCATCTCTTGTCCTGTGAAACTAAAAACCACAATGTCTGGGTTAATCCATTGCCTTCCCTTCATGGTACCAGCAAAACCACAACATTTTTCTGCATTTCTGCCCTGTGTTGCTGTCCTGTCTGTTTGGTTTGGGTTTGAGGCTCCTCTGACCAGCCCTCACATCTTTACAGAAGTGTGATGTCAGTGCCAGCCCCATCAGGGCCCCAGGTGCTGTCACATTACCAACACACATATAAAAAAAATCCTTTTTTTTTTCTTCCAGTCAGTCTGGTGGTCTGAGGTTTAATTCATTAATAAAAGAAGCTTGGATGGCAGCAATGGCAGAGCAGCAAGCCCCAGCCCTGTGGCAGGAAGCAACACACGTTTTTCCTTTCAAAAACAAACAAGCAAAACTGCGGAGAAAGTTCTCCCGGGCAGCGGTGGAACATTTGAGCAAGGTCTATGGAGATTGCTGTCTCCAGCCCCGAGGGGTGGGAATGCTCTGAGGGCTTTCTGCTCTGTTTTCCCCTGTTCTGGCCAACTTCCTATGTATAGGATAAAAATAAGCCCCGAGTCCTCCTCCTTCCGTCCACTTCATTAGAGACATCCCTCTGTGCAATAACAAAACAGGCCCAGAGGAAGCGACACAGACCGAAATACAAGAATGATAATTTTCCTAACACAAATAAGCAGGCAGAGGAACTCATCTAAGGAAACAAGTGAGGGAAGGCAAAGCCACAGATGAGCAAGCAATGGAGCCAAGAGCTAAGCTTAGGCAACACAAGCCTGCCTCCAGCACGTCTCCTGAGCCATCCCCAGCTGGGAAAGCTGAGCAGTCGCCTGGCATGGACATCCCTGCAAGGCACTGACCTTCCCACCCGCAGCCAGACCTGGAGCGACCCTCACCCCAGTTCTGGGCAACATGGCAATGGGAAGAGTCTCCTTTCCCACAGGGTGGACCTGGACTGACCCTCAGCCAGCCCTAACTGGGTCTTTCCCAGTGCTTCAGCAGCACCAAGAAAATCCATGAAACAGAGAGGCACAGGTTAACAGGAGGGATAGCAGCTCTCCAGTTCCAGAAAAAAAAAAAAAAAGGCTGGGCTTAGTTCACTCTATTATTTGCCATTGAGAGGCACTGACGCTGCCGTTCTTCAAAATAACCTCAGCCCAAATGTTTATTTATCTAGAAATTCATTGTGGATGCTTGCCGTGTGTTGTAGTTCTGTTTGAAAAGCTTCAATCATCAAATCAAGGACAGGAAAAACAAAAGCAGATCTCTCAGCTGGCTGGTCCCCACTGCAAAAAGGAAGCAAAGAAAACAAACCGGAGGCTGAATGTTTCTTGCTGTAAATGATCAGTGAATGTCTCCGAACACTAACTCTGTCCAAGGAAGCCTAGATCAGTTTGTGAATGACTTGTTAGGTTAAAAAGAACCATGTTCATAATAAATAATCTTTGAAACCATTCTTTCATGCATACTCCATTTTCACAAAGTCATTTTCATAGGTAAACAGCCAAGCCCTCACTACCCAGGAAGTTAATGGCAAAGATAAGGAGACCTGGGGCTGTGTCTCTTTTAGAAAATTAAATGCGGCCTGGACCATTCTCTGGCCTCGGGGCCAACTGGCACAGAAATGCTTGCATCCATTCATTAAACTCTCCCACTTTCCAAAACAGAGCAGCTGTATCCAAGCTGCCAACTGGGAATGGGCCCTGGCTGTGCCGGCTGCCGGACGGTGCCTGGAAACTGTTTGGATGGATGTTAGAGAGCTGAGGCCAAAAGTGAGCAAGAGACCAGTCTGAGGACCAAAAGCAAATTAAAGCACCTGGGAATGCTCCTTTGCAACGTGCAAATTGTGGACATTGCCCAAGAAATTGATGTCATGCCTTGGAGCAGCATCACTGGACCTGTGTCATTTAGCCAGGGAGCTTTGCTGCTTCATTCATGTCTTGACTCCACACATCCACTTTGGGGAGGTGATGGGAAATCAGCTGGATCTTGGCAGGACTGAAGGCCTCAGGGCTTCTTTCACGTCTGTATTTTCCTTTACCAATGGCCCCACTACCAAAAAGGGACACCTGGGACACCACGAATTTTTCCAGGTAGGGATTCAAACCTCACCTGTGCTGGAAAGAAAAACTTATAGTACTTGAAAACCACAAAAGTTTAGGCACTCCTGGGATTTTAAGTGTGATGTGTCATCCCTATTGGCCAGCATGTCAACTCATACTTCACATTAAGGGTCCTCCTGGGGAATGTCTCAGTGGCACAACCACCTATATCAACAGGGGAAAGAATGGGAGGGGACTCAAAGTGCTTAACAGCTACACAGGCATTTCCCACAACCATCATGAAATTAAAACATTGAAGAGCCCCTCTAGGGCTGGCTGGGGCTTTGTGAGATCCCTCGTTTCCTCTGGATTAATGAAATATGCAAGTCAAGAGGAGCTGGACAGAAAGGTGTGAATAAGAAGCTTACTAATTCCCCACAGTAATCACCTGCAAAAGTGTTTAGGAACAACATTTATCAGGCACTAAAAAAGTAAGAAAAGGACTAAAATATCTACAGCTCTTTGGGAAGAGACAAGGGCAGACCCGAGCCAGGGAAGTGTCACCTTGACATGAATCTACTGTGGGCACGGAGCACACAGCAGTCATCAAATTGCTCCTCGTGGTCCCAGGGCTTGTTCTGCTCATATGGCAGGCACCTGCACTTAGCTGGAAACTCGTTTCCATTCATGTGAGAGTGTCCCAGCTTCAAAGCAAGCCTTGTGATTTTTGGTTCCTGTGTGTGAGAAGGGTATTAATAAATGCTGTATTAATAGATCATCTGCTTGCACGCTTCCCGTCTTAAATAAAGAAGACATTGGATCGAGCCCCTTTTCCCAGCACCTCCAGGCCTCTTGGATGCTTGCAGTGTGAGGCAAAGGCAAGACAGCAACAGTAGAAATGGACTTTGAAATCCAAATAAATAAAACCTCAGACCTTAATGTGAGGAGAGTTTGAAGAACAGTTCATAACTGAGTTACAGAGCATGGATGGATAATTCTCTTGAAACTGTCTGAATCCAAGCTCAAAATCTAATATTCATCTTTGCAGTTTATGGAAGCCGGGAATCAGAGCCAAGATCCATTACTCTTCTGGGGTTAACACTCCCCCTAAGCCATTTCAGCGGGGAGGAAAACCTTCCTCCCTCCTTATTTTGGTAACAAGGGCTCTCTCATCATCATCCTCCACAGGATTTTTCCAGAGGACAGAAGACAAACAGTATCCCAAAGACTGGATCCAGCCATGTCTCTATGGATTATGCTCTCATTTTACTGCAATCTACTGAAAAGCTAGCTATCATCTTTTCCAATATCCTCCTTTTTTACAAAGCTTTGTGTGACTAAATTAAATAATGAAAATATTGGACATTTCATTTCATCACCCAACTCTTATCTGCAGTGTTTAACTGCTGTTGATGCTATCTTTACTTTAAGAATTCACAGGACATTGCTGTGAACCATTTTTCATAAATACTAGAGTTGGAAATTTTAAAATATTTTTTCATAGCAAAACCACAATTCTTAGTAACCAAAACACTACAGGAAAACATTGGTTTCAGTCAATCTCCTGACTCAACATATGTTGTAAAAAAAAATCACTTAAGTGCCTTATTGTGACATTACAGAAAAATTAAGGAGGTTGTTTTGAGAAAATTTGACTAAATAGAGAAAAAAATTAAAAATTGCCAAAAATAAAATAAAATAAGATTTATAATTAGTGGGATCAAATATTTAATTTAGTGCAAAGCAACCTTTAAAATTTTGTCCAGAGAAGCTGTGGCTGTCCCATCCCTGGAAGCATCCAAGGCCAGGTTGGATGGGACTTGTAGTGACCTGGGATAGTGGAAGGTGGAACTGGATTATCTTTGAGGCAGGGAAATTGGAGCTGGATTAAATTTAAGGTCCTTTCCAAGTGGAGCCATTCCACGTTTCTATGAAAATATTATTTTTATTTTCTCAGGGTTTAGGGTTTTTTATTAAAATCCTGGGTGTTTGTATCTTTGTTAGGGTTCTGTACTGCCGTGTCAAATATTGTAACAGAACAGCAAAATTATTTTCTGCACAGCTGTAATATGGACCTACTCTAGGGCAGTGCTACCAACTCTGCTTTATAACTACACCTCAGAGGAAAGCACAGGGAAGGCTTCAAGGGCAAGAAAAAGTGGTCTCAGAGAAAATAAATCTGCTGAGCTGACATTTGGCATTGCACTCAGTGCTGTCTCACATTGAAGGAAACTGCAGTTGTCACAGCACGCTGACTTTGGGGGTTATTGCTATGCCTTGCCAGCAGGTTTAGCATCTTTTTAAGTCAGCCAGCTTCCCCTAATGCAGCAAAATTCATCACCAATCACAGATATACGTGTCCTGTCGGCCTCTTTGATCCTCAGCTTCTCTATCCATTTTGCTCTCTCTGCTCATTGGTCACAATGAGTTATGGCAGCTGTATCCTACAGACTGTCCAGAGCTCTTTAGCTGTCCAGCACATCATGGAAAGTTCCCAGGAAAGCTCCCTGGTTGAAAAGTAACAACTCTGCAACATAATTCTCAGCGCCATGTGCAGTCATTCATCAACAACACTTCTCCTGTAGAAACCAATGGGCAGATCAGTTACAGAGCAGGGCTGTAATGTGACCTGCCAGATAGATGGAGATCCCCACGGGGAATTCACTGACTGCACAAAAGAGAATAGAAACTTCGCCAGTGTTTCTGGAAAGAGGAAGAGCTCAGCATTGGATTAGTCTGGGCTGAGGGTAAGAGAGTCCCTCTCCACTCTGAGCTGCTCTGTTGCATAACCAGAGCTTCTAGAAATAAACGAGAAACAGAATTAAATAAAATTATTTTTTAAAAGGAGCCGTTTCCCTCTAGGAATTCCAGTGACATATTAAAAGAAATAATTTACGAACGGCCGGTCTGTGCCTCAGCTTGGCTGTGCAATCACTCTCAGCACTGTGCTAACAAGAGGCTGCTTTTTAACAGGAGAGTCCAGCCAGGATACAGCCTGACATCCACTTTCCGAAATAACACCCTAGACCAGACTTTTGTTTTATTTGTGCATTATATGCCCAGAAATTTCATCTTCTGAAAATCAGTGTATTGAAGCACTGCTTATTTTCACTACAAGTCTTCATTTTAAAATGAATTTTTCACTTTTCTAATTTTTAATATACTGTTTTTACTTTTTAACTTTACGCTGTCACATCTCAAATTTTAACAGATTTAAGCTGTGATGCCCAAGTCTATTTAATAAGGAGGTGCTTCCACAGACCCCAAAGCCACAAGTAAGAGGGATATATTGAGAAATGTAGGACTTCTTTCTTATAATTTTGTTCTTCTCCTAATGAGGCTGATATTCATAAGGAAGTCATATTTCATGTATGTTGCTGAGCATTTTGAAGGAAATAGAGTGATATTAAGATGGGTTAATTCAGTGTATTTATATTACAAAAGGCTTAAAAAAAGAAACTGAGATCTCATCTTAATAACTGAGTAAAAACAGAACTAAGAGTCAGCTTATGTAATAGAGAGAGGTCACATGAAGTTCCACACAGATGAGTGTTGTTCAACATATTCATGAAATCTGGGAAACAGTGACTCATGAGATAACAGAGGTTGGAGATTATAGGATCTCATTAGAATCTCATGACACTGAGTGATTCTTGTTGTTGATGAGATATCATGGCACTGAAAGAAATCCAGTGTTGATAGATGCAAGAACTATGGGCTAAAAATAACCCTAATTATACGGATGTCACAATATTCTTAATTAGCTATGACTGTTCACAGGGAAAATGGGGTTTGTGGCTAATACTCTGAAAACATTAACCCAGTGCTCAACAATCATCAAAGAGGCTGATAAAACACAATGGATTATAAGAAGGAAAACTGAGAACAAATCAGAAAACCTCATTATCTCGTGGTAGAAATCTGTGTGTATTCCTGTCTGTCCTGACTAAGCATGCCTGCCAGGCAGACTGCCTTGGAAGAGTGCTGAGAACTGGAAATTGTGCAGAGAAAGGACTGAAGTGAATCTCTGTCTCACTGCCCAGTTCTGTCTCTCCTGTGCTCTGGATTAACAGGATTATGGGGCTCCCTGGGCACTGCTCTGGACCAAAAGCAGAAAAACCAGGAGTTATTAGGATGTTAACTCTGATGTCCTCCTCCTGCATATCTCTTGTTCCCTCCCAGGAACCTCTGCAGGACACATTCCTATGCCAGGCAACTTGTGTTGGGATTTCTCTTCTGCTGGGGCCACAACATGAACTGATCACTCCACAGGACACAACAGGAAAAGGTGACAAAATGTGGATTTCAGAGCCAGAGGGTAGAGCTTTGTAAAGGGGAAATGTGAGATTTAAAAGAAAACTGTGAATGGGGAAAAGGTGCTGAAAAATATTTGCCAGGTGATGGAACTAGTGCAAAGCAGATAAAGACTTTCACAGAAACAAAAATCTTCACAAAATTGTTCTCTATTTTTCCTATCACCATCATAGAAACCATTTTTCCCCATAGATAAAAACCTCCAGATTTTTCAAATTAGCACATTTCTTCCAGTCTGCTCCTTGCTGTGATCCTCCTTTACACTGAATACAGTAGACACTGAGTGCTTGTTAGAGTAAAAATATCTTCAGTCAAGAATTTTGCTGACATTGGGTATAGAAAAATTTTCTTTTAATCCAGTTAATCATACAGCTCTTGCACCCAGACAAGGAAGATGGTACACATATGTAAAACTTGCTCCCAATGAGGTCCTGCTTCCAACAGGTTTTTTGCTATATTTCCAGAGATTTATGGTAAATTCATCAGGACTGTGTTAAAATCTAGAAGAGAAAGATGCTGCAGAAAAGGTACATTCCCAAAAATCTTTAACATATGGTGAGAGAGACAGAGAGCAGGAGAAGGGGAATACATCAGAGCTCTGTATGTAATAAGGATTGAGCAAAAATGAAAGGGATGCTCTCTCAGGGGTGCTTTAATCTCTTCAGGGATGAGTGCCAGGACCAGAATTAACACTTGTGAGATCGTCCTCGGCACCCTGCACTTGATGAAGAAATCTGGCATAAATCTGGGAATGAGAAGGCTTGTCAGGCCACAACATGCCCAACATCAAGGAGAGCTCCCAGAGTTCAGGAGCAGCTGTCAGAGCTGTGGAACTGGTGCCCCCACAGCGTCCCAGGCAGGGTGACCCCTCTGGCTGATCCTGGACAGGGTTTGTGCTCTGCTCCACCCTGTCCCACCAGTGCAATCCCCCAGCAGGAGGGCACACGTGCTGGGCCATCCATCATCTCCAGCAGGGTCCTCCTTGCAGCTGGCACAGATCACTGCACAGCAGATGGGACAGGTCTGTGCCTGCGTCCCGCAGCTCAGAGCAACAGAAGAATATTCAGATTAACAGAGAATTTTGCAGTCAACCTTTTTTCCAACACTGATTTTCCTCCAGGGAAGCATGTGGTCCAATTCAGAGGAATGAGAAAGAGAGCAAATTTTTTCTTTAATTTTACATTTCAAGTAATAACAGTTTTCTGGCTTTTTGCGCAGGTCACTAACAATCCTCCCCAGTGAAAAAGTTAGTAGTTCCCACATCTCTGACTCACTTGTCTGTAAAAAAACTAAAGCAGAAAAGCCCTCAGACCTGATGTGCATTTACACTACAGCCTTTTTTTTTCCTTTTTCTGTAGTATAAACTACCCTTCCTGCAGGTACAGGAATGTCAAATTTCCCACATTATAAAGGGATGTGAGTGAAAATAAGATCCAGCTTCATCAAAGTGTGTGTCACCACTGTGGGGAAATATAGGAGAACATTGACTTTGGGTAAAAGCTGCAAGAGTTTCAGCCAACAGAGGCAGAGAGAAGAATTGAAATTAGAAATAATTCAGTGCCAAAGCAGAGCTAGGTTGTTTGTGTTCCTGAGGGCACAGGACTGAAATCCTGATTTAAGATTAGCACGACTCAATATCAGTGGAGTGTAAAGAGATGAAATGGGTCATTAATGGGGACCCCTCAGTCTCTGGGGGCACCCACTGAGGCTCTAAGGGAGGGCTCCAGGGTCAGCATTTTTGTCGATGAGCTTTGGAAATATATTTTGCATCACTGCTAAGAAAATGAGTTTAGGGATCAGTACAGGGCAAACTAAGAGAAAACAGGAGTACGACAAACAACTTAATCAGGTCTGGTTCAGGGAAAATGTTCAAAATTAGCTGAATGGGAATGCAAAGGTTCAGGAACAAAGAATAGAGACCATGTTTTCAAGTGGGGTTTATCTCCTGTCCCAGGTAAAGCCTTCATTAAGAGCCTGCCTACAGGAGCTGCAGGTGTTTCGCTGCTGGGCAGAGAGATGGTGAATGTCATCGTGGCCTCAACTCCCCACAGGGTTGGGATGGAAAGAGCTCCATGTCACCACTGAGCACCTGCAGAGTCCCCCCAGTGCGAGAGCCTTTTCTGCCTTGGTGTGCCAGTGACACCAGGAATTGCAGCATTTGGCTCTGCTCAAGTGCCAAGTGTTTCCCCTTTCAGCACGGAGCCCCAGGGGAAATGTAGGGCACAACTGCTCAGATCTGCTCTGGGCAAGGAACAGCAGAGAGCGAGAACCTGAGGCCCTTCCCAGCCCAGGGCTTTCAGGAAAATAATCAGTCAAAGGTCCTTGTACGGATAATGGCAGGAGGAATGGATAATGGATATGAATGAATTTTAGTAATTTTCACTGAGACGAGTGTAACCAGTGATTGCCATGGAGATGTGATGACAACAAATTTGTAAATGATATTGAAATTATAAGTGTTCACATTTGCTGATGACAGAGTGTTTTCCAAAAGAAAAACTTGTCCAAAAAGAAAAGCAAAAGGGGAGATTTCTACAGTTGTATAAGATGAATGATGTGGAAAAAATGGTAGGATTCATTGTTCCCCATCTATTCTGATGCAAAAATTATGGAATATCCAAGTTAGCAGTTGGCAAGTCCAAAAGAAAGATTTTTATTTTTTTTCAGAGAGACAACATGTAGGACTTGCCAAGAGGATGCTGTGCATGCTGAGAATTCACATCAAGGAGAGACTGGACAAATTCATGGGAAAGGAATCCCATCTGCATTACTAAAAAGAAAAAGAGAGCAATCTTCTGAACCATAAATTGTTGGATTTTGGAAGAGCAACCTGGGGAAGTGTCAGTATGTGCTTAGCACAGTCTGCTCTGCTTGCTCTCTGCCAAACCATGCTCCTCCTGTTATTCATTCAAAAGAGGAACATTTATTCTTCAACACCTCCACAGCCCAATGCATCTCCATGACACAGAGAGGTTTCATCCCCACAGGACCAGCATCCAGGTTTCCCATTTTCATGGTATGTGCTTTACCTCTTAAAACTGCTGTGCCAAAGGGGGGCACTGAGCTCATCTTTAATTGTGCTGGTCTTCTCCAGAATTCCCACTGCTGGCATGGTGCCCAGTGCCAGAACAGGCACTCCTGAGCAATGGTGTGCCTGGAGCTTTGAAGAAACTCCAAGACAAACCCAGAGATGCCTCCAGCATTAGAAAGCGAAGAGCCAATCCACTCAGAGTGAATTCCATCCCAAGAACCCAGGCTGTTGAGCTCGGTGACAAGGAGACTGAAAGAGATGATTAACGTGCGATTAATCATTAATGCTTATGAGCAAAGAAATACCAGTTACTACCAGGCTTCATAGTTAAAAATGGAAAGCACAAGACCTGAAAGCCAGGGAAATTCTACTTAGAAATGAGGTGCACATTTCTAACAGGGATTGTGGTTAACCACTGGAACAAACCAGAAAAAGGAAGTGGAGGATTCTCCATCTCTTAATGTCTTCAAAGAAGAAGTGGGTGTCTTCCCGCAGCACAAAATACTGTGCTCAGTTCTGGAGGTCTGGATGCAATTCAAGGGCTCCATATATTCCAGAACTGAGGTTAAATTATCTTGTTGTCCTTTCAGACCATTATCTTTACCAGCTTTAACTCCTGCAGAAGTGGATCTGCAGAGATGAGGGTGATCAGGTATGGACAGGACTGGGTTTATTAAAATCTTCTCCTTTTTAGGAAACTCCCCACAAAAATAGCTAAAAGTGAAGCTTTCAAAGATCAGCCTAACATAAAGTAAATGCAATAAAACACTAGAACATCACACTGGAAAATCAATTTACAGAGGTAAAAACACAGTTTATATTCCTCTAGTCCCCAGTATTTTTACAGCAACCCAGAGATCTGCAATTTCATGTTGTGTCTTGATTTCCAATGCAAATGGGAAAAGTAGAGATGACATACCTGGCTGGTAAACCAAGTCCAACCTCTCACTTTCAGCCCACCAGCCAACACAAGCACCTTCCCTCAAGACAGTGATGCCCCAATTTGCTTCTTCTCTGTCCTTTCATCTATTCCACAGCAGTTGGGTTTTCCCATTGCAGATGTCACCTCAAAACATGCACCCACCACCCTGCAAACCACCCCAGAGCAGCACCACCTTTTGTGCTTGCCTTAGAGAAGGCTTCACACTGCTCAGGCCACAGGATTTAGTGTAATTATATCTGGAATAAAGATCTGTGATGAATTATGCAGTTCTGGTATCTGCAGATGAATCACACCAAGGGAACACAAGGATGTGGTGTCAGAGCCAAGCTTGGAAATGGAAAATGCCTAATCCAGCGTTTTAAAGGTTTAATGCAGCCAAGATTTCAGAATTTCAAGTATTTTTTTTAATCTTTGTTTAAGCCTGGATTTGGGGAGGGGACTGGTAATGGTATTTAGATTATTATTTTTGCTGTAACAGGATTATCCTTTTCAGTGACTGTTAAGTCGCCACAAGCTTGTTGCCTTTTCAGTGCAGGAATCAGTTAAGCATCACAGATAGAGAAATATTATTGTAACCATTTTACAGCCCATTTTGGCCAAGAATGGGACAAGGAATGCTGACTCTCGATCACCTGCCTTCACAAGTGAACTAATAAATAGGGTAGAAAGCTAATAAATGAAGGCACTGTGTACATTAACCCTCATATAACAGCACTTATCCCATGCTTGTGTTATACACAGGAGGTCAGAGGAGATGAACAGAGAAGTCCCTGCTGGACACAAAGCCAGTGAACCCATTTTTAAACATGAGGCAACATTCAATAACCTGCATCAGCTTTGATTAACTGTTCTGCAAGATTGAAAGCAACACAAGCAGAACTAACGTGCACAGTGGGCAGAAAAGACATCAAAAGCACAGCTCATGATGGCAAGGTTTTAGTGCAGAAATCCTGGATGGGAACCTTGGCTGTGCAGCTCAGGCTGACCCTTCTGGAGCAGTTCATCATGTCCCCAGAACATTTTGGCCAAGATTCTTACAGAAAGGCACTGACAACTGGGCTCTGTAGCTTCCTTCAGGTTTTTAGCTAACCCCAGTCTCTCCCTCTTAAATACATAAATACATATATAAATATATAAATATATATATATATATATATATATATATAAGCAAATACTATATTTGAGCTACTATGAGGCAACTAACTTTTTTAAACATGCAAACAAGCTTAGTATAAGGTCTGTAAAACAGCTCTGCTTTTTCTGGTATTGATTTTGCTTATTTTGAAGTTAAGCATATCCATAAATATGCTCTATGGTCCCTTGAGGTAAGTCTCATAAGGTATTTAAAAAGGAAAAAAAGGACAAGGAGGAATTTTTTGGCAGCAATTACCATCTCAGATAACCTGCCTGGGGTTGGGAAAGTGTGCCAGCAATCTGCTCAGAAATAGCTTTCATTTGGGCTGTTTATTTTCATATGCTTTGTCTGACACTTTACTGCTGTGGCTGAGTACTTAACTGTCAGCTTCCATTAAATGCTTTGTCAGTTGTTTCCACTCCAGGCAAAACCCAAAATTATTATCTCCCATTATTCATTAAGGCCAACACACTGGCAGGAAGCAAGTGGGCTGACAAAGGAAATCCTCCCTGTGCCAAATGGTGAGATTTCCTCAGGGTCCTTTGCTCCAGTGCTCCTCTGGTTCCTTGTACCTCCCTTGTCTTGACTGCCCCAGTCACCTGCCTTGTTTCTTTCAAATGAGGGGGGCACCTGGGGCAAGCTGTTTCACTTAAAAGCAAAGCTAGGGGGACTGAACTCCTCTGCAGCAGCTAAAAATATTCAGATATTCTGAAAAAGATTAATGTGTTTGCTTCAAATCAGTTTGGACTTTCACAGCATAATCATATGGGTGAGTATCCCTTCCTGGCAAGACAGAATATAAAATATGAATGGGATGTTAATAAAATTGTTTTGGGAGTGTCTATTACACGGTTTCTTGTTTTGCTGTTTTAGGGCGTGTGGATGGCTTTTTTTAAAAATTATTTAAACTAAATTTTTCATGGTCCTATACATAAAGAAAAGGGGAGTTTAAGCAATGCAGAAAAGCAAAACATGTCATTTCAGGTGGTCAAACAAAACATTTTAAGATGACCCAGACAGGTCCTCCCCCTTCCAAATTTGGTCCTCTCCAACCCAGTGCCATTGTCCCCCCAACACTCTAGTTCACCCTTTGAACCAGAGAACCCATTACATGCACTGCTCTAATTATGGTCTGGTTTCTTTTAATGATCACATGTGGAGCTGTATAATCATGGCCCCAGGCCACGAAATGGTGGACTCCAGCCTGGACCTGGACCTCACATAAATCTGCTCCGTGCCCTGCCAAGGTCCCAGACATCTGACATCTTGAGAAGGAGATCCCATGGGTTTTGCCATTCCTTTTGGCACTCCTTTTGGCACTCCTTTTGGCTCTCCTTTTGGTGCTGTGCATCACCAGGCTGAGCTTGGCCCAGCTCACAGCTCCCTGCTGACCATCCCCTGGTAAGAATTAGCAGATCTCAATAAAATTACCCCATGGGCCTCTATTAAAAATTAAAACCCTTTTTGCTCAAGACTGCAAAGTGCTCACCTCTTGAGCAACAAAAGCCCCACCAAACAAAACCAAATGTTCCTCAACAGAGGATCTCTATTGCTGTCCTTCATTCCTAAGGAAAACATTCAGTCTGAATATATTTGTTCCCACTCCCGCTCCTGGGGTTTTCAATGGAAGTCTTGAAGCTGTCCAAGCAGCTCATAAACTGGACCCCCTTTCTGATTCAAGTGTGCCCTCCTGTTCAGATTTTGGGAAACGGGATGATTAATTGATTTCCATCATCAGACTCCCCATAAGTCACAAGCCAAGCTGCTATTTCAAGTTTCCATTGACAAAGATTTCATTATAAGAAGCCATAATTTTTAACCAGCGCTCTGCAAACTTTTTTTTAGTCTTCAGCCTGAATTAGGCCCATATGTTACAGAAAAACACAGTGAGGGCAAGTTGTGGGGGTGAAGTGGTGAGGGGAAGGGAAGGGAGCAACTGGTCTATCTCAGTGTCTGAACAAACTTCCACCCACATCACAGCATAAAGGGGCTCTGAATTGGTCGTCTTAACCCTTATCTAAACAAAATAAATCAAAAATACAATTTTCCAATTGACGCTGAAGGATTTGCTTTCTTAGCCAAAAGGCAATTTTAAACTCCCTTGCTGAGTAAGCTCTGCCCAGATTCTGAACTCCACTGAGAGCTCCTGGAGCCCAAGGTGGAATTGTTTAATTCCCCTTCTGGTGTTCAGCTGCTGGGATAGAAACATCCTCTGACAGCACCTGCCACAGGAGGCAGATGAAACCACAGCTGAGTGTTGTGTGTAAACCTGGTGCCTGGGAGACCCTCCCTCCAGAGGGCTTGGCAGGGCAGTTGAAAAGACAGGAAAATGGGAAAGAGGCAGTGCTGCAAAATGGGAAAGAGACAGTGCTGCAATCCTTATTTCACAGAGTCAAACAGGCAAGGTGTACCCCAACAAAGAAAGCAGTCCATTGTCGATAGAACACTGAGCTCCAAATCCTGCCAGGAGCACCTCCATTGTTCAGGATGATACCACAGTCCATCATAGCTCATGAGCAAGGCTCTGTGAGTAAAATTTTGCCATTGCCACCCTGTTGAGCTGTCTAGCAGGAAGAGGATGGATGTAAGGATGCAAAGCACATTCAACCCAATCTGTTTTATTTAACTGCATAGCCAGAGCCTTCAGCAGAGCAGAGGCTCCATCTGCATTGTGGCTCCAAGTCAGGGACCTGGAGACAGAGGGATCTGGAGACTGAGCACCCCACCTTGTATGAAAAATGCATCCCAAAACGATCTCTGCTCCATTGTCACATGTGCTCGAGCTCTTTGGCAATGTCGGATTGTTGTCTAATGGATGGGAATTCTCTGGGTGACAGGGAAGAGGAACAGCAACCTCACTGCAGGGATGAACCAGAAGTAGCAAGGAGTAGCTTCAGGAGTTTACATTAAGCTATGTGACTGTCTGATATGGCTAAGCCAAAAACTACCAGATACAGGAGCTGATAAATCTCAGTCTCTCCTTCTCTCTGATTTGCAATACAGCCTTGGACGAGTCACTGCAATTTGGATTTGTCCCCTGCAAAACAGGGATAAATGACACGAACCTGCCTGAAATGTTCTCTGAGAGATATAAACAGAACCTGATTAACAAGTGCTGTCTAATAATGCTTTTGTATTCCAGATTGGCAGGGCAGCTGCTTGGCACACTGCTGTCACACAGGGAGGCCACAGCACTCAACAGCTTGGGAAAGCCAGCCAAATTTTACATTCATTTGATGGCTGCTTCCAGCATGACAGAACTATGGCAACAGCACAAGCCATGTCAGGATCTGGAAGGGCCAGAGGTTGATTGGAAATTTCCCCAGATAAAGAAAAATATTTAGCAGTCATTGAAAACAAAACTGATTTTTCTTCTCTGCCCCTTGAATGATAAATTTAATCATAGCTCCAGGTCTTTCCTTATTTTCTTTCTTTCTTTATAGCCTTGACCCAGGCTGGCTGAAAACCCTAGAACTAGCGCAAATTCCTGTGCTTTGAGGAATTTGTCTCAATTCAGGTTGGATTGGTCAAACAGATGATGTTGCAATAAGGTTGTGGCAGACTCAGAGTAATGCCCCACATCTGACTTGTTTTCTCTCCTTGCTGAAACATTGCAGTCTGCTTATACAGTTCTTATCCTAGCAGCCAAAAATGTTTTACCAAAAACATAAGTATTGCTGTGTTTCAAAAATTTTTGCCAAAAATCTAGTTGTTCTCATTTTGGTTCTGTCCTGATAGCAATATATTGGATTTCACAAAAATGTCATCAGCTTCAGAGGCCTCAGTATTTTGGAAAAAGACAGGAAAGTTGGACAGCAGAAGAGGCAGTGAGTTTTGGAGAATTTCAGAGAGCATGAAAGGTAGAGGAATTGCATCCTTCACATCCTACAGATTTTGATAAGAAACTTCTGGTTTATGTCTCTTGGACTTCTGAAAGAGGACTATGTCCACACAGTCTAAGGCCAGAACAAACTATTTACCTAACACAGACCTTCAAAGATGACCCTCCCCTCCTCTTGCTGTGACTTCAATGCCTTGTGCTCAAATAAACCATTTGTTCAGGATGATACACAGCCTGATTAAAAAGACCAGAGATGAAAAATCCCCCACTTGTCTCCACAATTGTTAATTATTAGTCACTCCTATAGTTAAAATGTGTCCCTTGTTTCTTGTCAGGATTT